AAAAAAAAAAACTTGTGAGGAATGTCAAAAAAAAGTTCTTTGACACAACATTTGTCACTCTGTTAACGTCGCAACAGTATTTTGAACATAACATTCAGGAAATTACCTTTCTGTAATAAGCGCTACTTTTTTCAAGATAATTCCCTGTGAAGTAAGGTGCAGCTAGAGCTTAATTAGAAGACGAAGAATTAGGAAGAAAGGAAAAACGCACATCTTCTCGCAAAGAAGCGGGTAAACGAATATTATTCCTGATTTTTTAAAAACTTTTGATAATTTTTCTCAACATCAACCACTTCCAACAACGGAAAATCGCAAATCGGTTAGAATCAAAAATGAGTCGGTTAAATACTGGAATCAAGTTTATCGAGGTGTGGGACAAAGTATCCAATAGTGATTCTTCCTCAGTTATCGAAGATCTTGATGACAGCTGTATTCATAAAAAATATCTATAAATCCTTGTCTGTATAGCAACTAACTTCAGCCAGAAGACAGGGGACTTTAAGTATTGTCAGTCTGCACCTACCACATTCAAATAAAAAAAGTTTTTCAAACGCATAATATCGAGTTCCGATGTCAAAGGTGCAATGATTTATTTAAAAGGTTGATAAATTATCTTTTTATAGAACGCTTGCCAATAGTACTACAAAAAACAGTAATGTTTGTTCATTACCCCAGCTTCATTAATTGTCTTATTGTAGTTCCTTCCTAAAAAGTACATTGTGATACACAGTGGCGAAGCGGTTATCTGTTAAAAATACATTTTTTCTTGTACACAGCTTTTCCACACTTTTTGAGAAATTAAAAGCTATATTTCGGCTGTGTTGACTTTTTCTGTACTGAAAGGTACTTAAAATATAAACCACAGAAAGTGTGTAAATGAAATTGTTAGCTCAAAAATCATAATCTTACTGCATATTATCAATTGTGAGCTTTGCCTTACTTCACTTTACTTATTTTAAGTCATAATTTATCTTAAACGCGTTATTCAAACTGGTTAATTTTTTTGTCAGTTGTACAAGGTCTCGGTCATAGACAGAAATTTGAACAAAGCAATAAATCTTCGTACTAGTAAACCGGGGCACTGATAACAATTTCATTGAGTGAGTCTGAAAGTTTTGATATGGTAATAGTTGTTCAAGGTGTAGACCGTGTGTTTACAGCTGAGGAAGACTGTCTTGGTTGCTATTAACATTATTTATTGGTTTGATAAAAAAAATAT